GAGATCTACTGAAGTCAGCTTTGTACCAGGAGACGAGGTGTGGTTGTATAATCCCAGGAAGACCAAAGGAAAGTCTCTGTTGTCCTCTCCATGGGAAGGCCCATATGACATAGTGGATCGTCTGTCAGACGTGACTTTTCGAATAAAATGTGGTCGGCGAGGTAAACCAAAGGTGGTGCATGCCAACAGGCTTTGGCATTATCACAGTCCAGGTAATTTAAGTTGGAACGAAGTGAACAACAGAACAAATGACGCTGCTGAAGACGTGTCACCTGAAAAAGCCACTGTCAAAGAGGAAACTCTACCCAGTTTTGAGAAGGAAGACAGTAAAGCCGTTAATGAAGTTACTACCACTGATGTGAATGTTACCGATAATGGGATATTTCCTGATGGAACAGATGAACCACACGTGAAGCAGAAGCCAATGAGACAGAGACCAGTACGAAAGAAGATACGTCCTGTAAAATTAAGAGACTTTGTTGTATTTTAATTTTGTTTTTGTAAATTCTGTATATTTAATTAAGTTATTGTTAATTATCTATTAGTTTAATGTAAGTGGCTATTGTTCGGGACGAACAATACTAAGAAATGGGCAGTGTTACGACAGCGGAAGTCACACGATCTGGGAGCATACACGCTGGAGTTACTAGAAGGATCATGAATTTTTCTGGCAACTCTAGTTTGTTCGAGGTGCCCTTTTTTTTTAGTATATAAGCCTGGCGAGAAAAATCAGCGCGATTGAAGAGATAGATAATTGAGTCAAGCGAACAGTAGGATGCAAGTTAAGTGTGTGAATCACTGTGATTTATAGCATGTGTTATAAAGGTTGTTAAGTTTAAAGTGACTGTGGAAATTCTTTGTACTAAAAAGTTGTATCAATAAAGAATAAACTAGTTTTAATTAAGAAAGAACTTGTATCGCTTAAGTTCCTCGGAAAGAATTTATATCAGAAATTAACGAACGAGCAGATACTTAACATCATTATTGATTACACAGGCTTGCAAATTTAAACTTCATAAAAGTTTTTTTTGTTTTAATAATGGATTTTCCATAATTCAGCTACGCAGATTTTGAAAAATAAGATTCATATTTTTCTATCACGTACGGATTTTTTTTTTACAAATCGTGAAGAAAAAAACTCTTACTTTGATCAAATTTACCATAAATATAACAGAATATGTTTGGGTCATTTACACCTCTTGTTATCATAGCAACAAATAAATAATATTGAAAAGAAAAAAATGACAAAGTGCATGTACAAACAAACACTATCCAGAAATGACACGTCACGCAGCCTGTTAACCATTTATATACTAGCAGTGTGTTTCTCGTGGGTTCTAGAATGATCAGTAGGACTCTCACGTCGCGATTGGTGTAAAGAAATCTACAGCCAGAAGTTGTCAACAATTTAAGCATAACAAAATGTGACCCGATTTCAATGAAAATGATTCACTTCTGTAAAAGTACATGTGATGTTTTGGGAAAAATCTGTACGTGACAGAAAAAAATGGATATCATTTTCGGATTCAGTGTAAATAATGACAACTGCTATTAAAGTGATTGAAGCTTTGTTATTTTAATATAGGATCCTTTTCTCATAATTAAGTGATGTATTTGTGACCAATCACTTACTATTCTTGTATTGAAGTAAGAGATAATGGAAGAGTATTATACCGGAAGTGTAATTTATATTTAAATCAGTAGAAGTTACAGTGATTAAGACTAGTATCATTTAAGTACAATGTAGAATAACTAGGTTGCCCATTGACCTTTGAATTCACTGATGTTTCAAATGTAAATATAATATGATCAATCAGTTACAGCTTATGTAGCAAGGACTGTTACATGGTTGTAGCTAGAGGTGCACTAAGAATAAAAATGGGTATCAGTTTTTGATTTTTCACTCGTAACTTAAGTAACTCGCATGTTAATCACTTAATAACAACATGATTTTCAAAATCAAGTTTCTAACCAATAAGCAAAAGAAAAATAGAGACAGCAGATTTAATTCTAACAGTCTTTGTGTGAATTTTGATAACAAAACCACATACGTAGTAATGGGAGATGATGGGGGAAAAATGAGGATGCCTAAGTTCCAGGAAAGCCATTATTTTGTTATGTTAAATTATTTGGTGTAACGATAAGTTAGGTAAACTTATTTTTAACCTATAGCATTTATTAACACAACTGTTTAGTTCATCGCAACATTCCATCTGGAATTGTACAAGTATAGAATAATTTCCAGTCTCTACACTGAATCATTTGATTGGTTAGCTTCAGTTGGTTCAATGTAAAATAGCCTTCAGTTACTGTAATGAATCCTTGTAATTTGTATCAATTTGCACACAAGAGTAACATAAACTACCATGCTGATTCCAACCAGTTAGATTATTTCAAACGTATAAGGATTAAAATTTTTAATTATTACATTGAATTCACATAAAGAACCTTAAATCATTGTCTTTGGTCCAACAATTCAATCTCTTCACACTGATAACTGTACATAGAATACTTATTATGTTCTAATTACCCGAGAATAAGTTTACTGAATAAACCCCTTTGATCATTCAAACTACTACAACTGATAAGCTTACTTTATATGATTCACACAAACTTTTAATGAATGAGTTTAATACTATCCATAACATAAATGGCATAACTTCATACCTATAGTTACAGTGGTCAATTGGGTTAATTAGTTATAATAGCTTAATGCTAATTCAAAGAACCTCTAGTCTTTATGCCAAATCTACTTAATTCATATAAAAATGAGCAATGATAAAAATAATCAATGAATTTAGCATTCAACCCAGTTAATTTTTCTTAATCAAGTTTTCATACAATGATATTAGATTATTTCAACTGGATCATTACATGAACTTTAAGAAATGTGTGCAAATTAAATGTTCCATGTAGCAAAGGTTCAACTGAATTAACAATTACTCAGTATGTTTAATTTGACTGATTATTATTATTTAACTAGACATTTGTATGAGCAACTGTAATGAATTAAAAATTATAAATAGCTAAAATGGGACCATGCCTTGTTAACAGTGGCAAAACATAGCTTTACTGCGTGATGTTTTTTATATCGCATTTTAGATGTTTATAATTTTCAATTTTTAAAATATAGGGGATACCTCTATCACTTATATTAAACTATAATGAATAATGGTCTGACAAACCTCTAACCTTTTAAGAAATGTTTTGGATTTCTGGACTTAGGTGCAAGATAATGTTTATCAAATTTAAGACTAAGTACTAGGATTTAGATACATGAAAATCCAAATATTTGGAGTTATTTTCTACTGAAAAATAAGCAACCTTGAAAAGTCTCCTCATTTAAGTTTATCTAAAAGGCTAGATCTATTCTTGTGGATATTTTTAATCTCTTATAACTACTGTCTTATATAATCAAGGGACAAAAGTTATTCTTTCCCAGTTTCCCGAGGAATTCAATGAGTTACCCTCATTCCCCATAAATTTGTGGGAAATCAGACCAAAATGTCATTAGTCTTCACTTATATGGAGATTATCCAAACCACAGAGACCCTGTTTTTCAATTCTCTTACATGTTGTTTGAAAATTCCTTCTTTTGTTCTTAAAAAAAGATAAATATATACAGTTTGGCAGAGCATGGAAATGTGCTATATTGATGGCCACCTTTAATTATCAGAGTCATAATTTAAAATGTGTGGTAATCTTGGGATCATTTTTTAACTTTATTTCATTTCAAGGCAAATATAAATTAATAATTTCATTATGTTACCTGATTTATATGTTACTATTGGGTCAAAATAAACAGACTAATTCCTTCAAAGTATCTGTAATATAAACTATCACTTTAAATCTCTCTAAGGAATCGTACAATTACAAAAATAAAATCATTCCACTACAGATCACAATTTTTAATATTCACTACACAAAAAGCACAAATATAGCACAAAAAGCGACAGATAGGCAGCAAGCAGAGTTGTGAGGGCTGGTGAATTTGAGCTGATTCTAATTCTGTTATTATCAACACGAGTCTTCTGAATTTTGGATTTACAAAAGGAAATCAGGGGACACCCCTAGTCCCCTTAGATCAAAAAGTGCTAAGCCCAAGAGAAAATACACTGACAGGCCTACTGATGCTGATTCAGATAGTGGGAGTGAAGAAGACCAGGAAGGTAGCAATATCCCACAGACACACCTTTTGCGTAAATGTCTTAGACATTCATCAGATAACTCTTATATAACTATAAAAGTGAAATTTGTGAAGAAAAGATTCACCAGTATGTAAGCCTATTGGGAGAGACAGTTCAAATGTCAGTGTATAGTATGAATTTAAAGAAGCTTCCTCTTCTGTTTTTGGTAAAAAAAAAATTAATTTATAGGCCTAAAAGTAATTTTCTATCACATTCATAATATAAACCAATTGGTTTCAAAACTAGATGAAGCCAACAACAAACTGATGTTTAAAGATTTCTGACTGCATTCGAAATTGCAAAATGCAATTTGTCATATAAAGCTTTCAGTGGTGACCTTCAGTTTCTAGTTTCAGTTTCTCAATGTGCCAATATTACATCAAGGTATTCATCTGATAAAGCTTGTGCAGGGTTTGTGAAATGAATTGCTTAAGATCTGAATGTGGTTTGGTAAATGATATTCAAAGCAGCATATTTGTTTATGTACTATGTGATGGTACTACAGAGGATGAAGAAATTATGCATGTGAGATACCTGAAAAATTAAGAACCTCACACTGTATTTCTATGTGTGTGCAATGTGGAAAAACCTGATGCAGATAAAAATTTTGATCATTTGTGCACCAGTTTTAAAAAATATTTACAAGTGGATGATCTGTCAGACTTAGTCTCATCTGTGGCTGATGGAGTTGCTGTGAATTTTGGTGTTCAAAATGGAGCGTATCAGAAAATCATGAAGTTTTTACCAGAGACTGTTGGTATCCATTGCACGTTACACAGATTCCAACTGTCACTGAAAGATGCATCAAAACAGACAAGACTATTTCCACATATGTCTGAGTTATTGCAAGCTATATACAAATTTCATCAGTAAAGAAAGCTTCACTGAAAAATACCTGCGAGACAGTAAACAGTAAATTTTTATCTCCAGGAAATGTTTACGGAACAAGGTGGATTAGTCACCGAGTACGAGCGTTAAGTACAGTGATTAAAATGAGGCAACCATTGGTGATACATACAGCCCAAATCACTGATGAAACTGGAAGTACCTCTGATGCTGAAAGAGGCCTCTCTGTAATGAAACAGATCAAAACAGGCTAGAGATCCTCTTTGAGATCAGATTCACTCAGTCATCTCAAGACAGTAATGTTTATTGACTATCAAATTGGCACATATATTCCTGAAACTGTGTATGCCAGGTGGAGTCTAGGAAAAGGGTCTGAGAACAGTAACCAGACATATCAGACATGTCCACCAGTGACATAACTTCTAGTGAAATGGGTTCTGATGAGACTGCTTGAATTTTGGTTGTGAGCTGTTGAACTGTTTTTTGTTAGAAAACTTTAAACCTAGGTTAGTTAGTGAGGCCTTCTCTTCAAGTTTTTTGCTAGCTCTAGTAACAACATTAGCACTTTTTTTTATTTGAATTAGACCTAGGCCTTGAAGTTTCTAGTTAGATCTAGTCAAAACTATTTACAAAGAAATAAATGCTCTAACTTAAAGTGATGTGATGAATATTTGTTTTTAATCTACAGTTTGATGTCTTTTGATTTTTGATAAAGTTATATGGATTATATGGTTTTCTGTTTTAGCTAAAATATTGATAAACATTAAGAAGTAGTGACCTTCCACTTAAACAAATGCAGAGTCATAAAAAATGTACTGTTGTTTCATTAAAATTTTAATGTGTGAATAAATTTATTATTTATTTGGAGTATTGTATTTATCAACCCAATTCCATAACTATATGGAATCTTAATATACAGTCCTATGTTAAACAGAAACTCTATATGTAATAGATCTACCATTTTATACAAGAAAATCTATTTAGTGTAAGGGAATTCAATCTTCTTAGTTGATTTCCTGCAATTATGCTTTTCATGAGAAATCATTGAAATATGAGGACAAGTGAACCAAAAAGTTACTTTCACAAGAGGAAGATTAACCTTTTTGGAACATTTCACCCTCTGGCAATACTCTGAGCATGCTTTACATAATCAAAAAAAATTATGCTAATAGAGGACTATCAACAAACATTTCACTAAATTTTCATTATTCAGTCAAAGAACATTTTTTCAGACCTTTGACCTACTACTCATTAATCACTATTTTCACAACTTTTAGAAAGTGTCAACAACCTTCCATATCTTAGTCATAAGGTCTAATTAACTTAATAATTGTCTAAACATAAGTTACTGTGTTAAAACTACTGATCATTTTTCAACCATTATGTTGAAACTAATATAGAAATTATTTCGTTTGTATAGCCATATACAAAATTATTAATCCAACTAAAAAATGTAAAGTTTTTGATTAATTCAGTGTCTACTTAAATCTAGTTATTTCATTGGATGAGCTTACATATAAAATTAGGTATTTCTAGCTAAATGACTACATGGATATTAATTAATCAGGTATATTAACATAATTGATTTCAGTCTGAGAATTTCAATCATTTGGAAGTTCTACGCTTCTTAACTTTAGAATAAATTCTAACAAGTACATCTGTAGTCTGATTTCATTTGAGTTGTTAGTCACAAAAAATCCTGGAACTCCTGCCTTTTCTAGGGTAACCTGCTGATCACTCACCTAGGAATAGAATTAGTAATAATGGCATTAGAAATTACAAAACTAATCATGCCACTTCATATGTCTTATTTCACAAAAAATAATTCTTTAACATTCAATCATAATAAGGACATTTATTCATGCCTCTCTAACATGGCGATAATACTATACAAATAATTATAGTATTTTGGCACTTGTGTATAAAGTTAAAATCATAAATAATATTCAACGTTAAACCGGTACACAATTAAAAACATTTTATTTAGGCCTATCTATGGCCTTCAAAAAGTTGACTTTTTGTTTTAAATTAAAACTTGTGTAAAAGTTTAAAAGGCACACTTTTCTAAATAGTGAGAGTTTGGAGGGACCCATTAATGAATTAAAAGTCTATAAGTCACTTTAAAAAAATCCCATAAAACCCTAGCACTTTCAAGAGGTGAGACTATTTTCACCAGAGAATTATAAGTTAAGGCAAGGAAACTGAAAAAAATGTATTACTGCTATATGTTTAAGATACGTAGTGTTTTATCTATTCTATTAATACTACTCAATATACAAGGTATTCTAACTTTATTTAATAAATAGTAATTACATTTTTTTCTGGCATAAATGCATCTATAAATATGTTGACCAGACTGTTTAGTCCACATCAGGCTATGGATTAGTGAAAAGTACACATATAATCTACTCAAAATATTTACCTTCTAAACTACTTTAATATAGAAGCAAGACTAACTTTAATTATAGCCAATACCCTAAAAGTGTATCAAGAATAAAATCCATTGAGAAAATGGTATTTATAAACTAAATAAGTACAAAAGAAAAAGCATTTTTAACTCTGTTGTAAAGAAAAAGTTAAATCAAGTTCACAGTAACAGAATAAGTCACAGTGACCAAAATCTAGCAGTGATTTTGTACCAGGATGCATTAATGGAAAGTATTTCTCAAAATGCTTTTAATTCCAGAGTCAATTACAGTACCAATACTGTAAGAAACTCTTCTATGCCTAATGCAGAGGAGTTATAAACTACTGTTACTGGAGAAGAATAAACATGGTCCCCTAATCTGGCCTATGGTGTTACTTATGAAGCTGCTACAGTATCTTATTTGAAGATAAGTGACTGTAAGATATAACAATGTAGTATATATACAAAAAAAAATCAGAATGACAAGCTTAATAAAATATAAAATGTTAATTAATACACTACTTCGTTCTAACTTTGTGATAACAAAATACAAAATTAAAAAAAAACACAATTAAGTTTTACGTGACTTTACAATTGATTATTCACATCTAAGCTAACAAAAATATTGTTTCTGATTAAATCTAACTATACTAGATATACTTCTGCAGGGTGCCCCAAAGTGTTCTGTTTCAAGAGAAAATAAAACCATAATTAAGAGTAACAAATATTTATATTTCATGCTCTTGAAATTCATATGTCATGCTGTGTTGTAGCCTATAGAGTGCATAATTCTTCCCATGATTCATGGACAGTACAAATTGCAAAGTTAAATGTCCCTAAAGTGACGTCATTTTAGTGTCTATTGACTGACTGACAGACAACACACTACTATGTAGTGGTGCAAGTGGTTAAAACAGATGACTCCTCCAGGCAGCTTTCAACCTTCTTTCGGAAAATAAGGATTTGAGTGTATAATTTCATTGTGAATTAATATAACATTAAAATGAGTTGTACTCAAATTATTGGTTTCTTTCTGTACTATTCCCTACCATTGGTATACACATTTTCCATTATGGTGGATAAATATAAATTTTTACCTGTCTCAAAACTCGATGAAAAGAACTGACCAAAACATTTAGTGAAATCGCTCACTCATAGTAGTAATTAGTAGGATTAATTACAATATTATTGTTTAATTTATTAGGGATCCCATAATCAACAAGGTCATAGAGTCACAACAGTTTGGTATATAAATAGTTTAGAAAAATGTTTAAAAAGCCAACAGAATCCATGTCATCCCCATACATAATTCTAGGGTTAAGAGAAAAGATACTTTATCTCATGTTTAAAAAAAAAAATATGTTATCTGTCTCATACATACCGCTTGATCAAGATCAATAATTATCTTCATATCTACTCGACCTTCTTCTTCTGTTTGGCGTTTCTCTATTTCCTGTAAATGACAACAATCTTCAGATCCATATCATCAAGATAAATAATACCACCTATATAAGCTTGATCTTTGATAACTTTGTACAGAGTACTCCAATTTTTGAAGAATAATAATACTAATACTTTTTAATTAAAATCAATTCAGAGATTAATTTGGGGTTTAAATATGGAGAAAACAAATTCTTACTTTTGAGGAGTAAGAATATTTCCATTAGTAATATTCTCAAGAACTCCATAATATTTCCAAAGTTCAGAGAGCATTTAGAAGTTTGTTTTCTTAAGTTATTTTGATTCTTTTTTGTGTGTTATTAACCTTTCATAATATAGTACAATTATTGCAAAAAAAATTATGATTGAACAAGACAAGGGAAATTTTTTAGCACAGAATAATTTGCTTTAAAGCTTAATGAGAGGGAATATTTTTCAAAGGCAAAATTTTTCTGTCAATAAGCTATTAAAAAAATCATACATCATTGTATAAGATAGTGGCCTGAAATTAATAAATGTTAGTTAAAATGGGAGGGAGGGGGAAGCTTAGAAATGATTATACCCTGTCCTCAGTCAGGATAGCTGATATCTATTATGATGACTAATGAAATATATCAGCTGCCTTACATTCAAAACATTTCTGCTAAAACAAGACTTACTACATAAAAGTTGACCATGATGGGCAAATTGAAAGGAGAACTGCAGAAATATTACTCATTAGTAGATGAACATGACAGAGCCAAAACAGTGAGAAATAGAGAATGGCTAAAATCAATAAAACTACACTTCTATTAAAGTTACAAGGTCAACTTATTGGTATTTTGTTCACAAACCATTTCATTTTTCCTCCTGAGGGGCTATGAATGACATATTATACTCAGAAAAACATTCAGGAAATTCAGAAACAATAATATTTTTATTTAGAGCATATTCAAATGAACCCAAAATTTGTTTAAATTTTTATATATAACATTAAATAAATAAAACTTTTTTATTGAATAAGTTTTAACCATAAAGTTTTTATTTGAATTAACACTGCTAAAATGTTAAACCATTTTTGATTTAGGTAAATACGATATGCTGTGTCAAATTTGTTTAAAAGATAGGACGATGTGTGTTTACATTCTGTTGTTGCTGCAGACTCTTTTAGAAAAGCTTTGGAAATTTCTTGAGGGAATGAATGAATGATCCTAATTCCAACAAGATTTATATTCAAAGACATATGGTACAGAGGTAGCAGTAGCCTTTAAATACTACCTCTCAGAAATCATACAGTTCTAGAGAAACTTCTGATAAATATTACAACCGAGATACCTATTCTAAAAAAAGGATCAAATATTATAGGCCTTTAGTTTGACTTTTATTGTAAACAGTGTTGGAATCTTCTTTAAAAGATCTTTTGGAAAAGTACCTCAAGAGTTGGTCTTTAATAACCAAAACTTTGAATGGTTTGAGCAAAAACAAATTTTTCTTTACTGTCAAATTACTCTCTCTTTATCAGTGATCTTACTTTTCTGGTTAGAAGACACCTTGGCAGGTATTGGGTATTTTTAATTTCAGTGAACCTTTGATAAGATCCAGTTGAGAAAAAATTGGCTTGGTATTAGAATGCACAGGGTAATGAAAAATGGGTATTTTTACATTACAACTAGATGTTCCTCAAAGAATATATCTAGTTTAGGAAATATTTTTAAAACTTGTTTATGTCAATGGCTAAGATACTTATTGAGTTCTAAACATAATTTCAAATTTGCTGACATAACAAGAATGATGGGAAAATCTTGAGAATTCCTTCTTTAATTCCAAAGATCCTGGACAGTCATAATGACTATGCATTAACTGTGAAAAAATAAGATTCAATACTAGAAACTTAAAGTGATACACTTAACATTGAGAAATACAATAATGACTTGCCCCTTTCTAAGAAAAATACTGGCATTGTGCAGGAGGAAAAACGTGAAGTTATATTATATAAAATGTGTATGCAGTTTTGGCTCTTTGATTACAGGAGGTAAAGTATAATAAAGTACACAGACGAGTTCAAATACAAGCTAAAAGAATTAGATGTGGCTTGATCTGATTTTTTAAAAGTGTTACGTGCTTATAAAAACTGCCTAGTTTGTTGAGAAGTTTGTTTAAAATGAGGAATAATGATGTTGGAAAAGGGAACCTGAATATTAGAAGCAATAATTATAAGTTTTACAAGTCTAAAAATCCTGACTTGATTTTTGATAGTGACTTTTATATGGTTATATGGCTTTAAACATTTGTTTATAATCTATTTATAAATGGTTTGTATATTTTAGTGCAGAGCTACACAATTGGTTATTTGCATCCTACCCAATGCAGGGAATTGAATCCCAGGTTCTAGCACTGTACATCCATAAACTTACTGCTGACCCACTGGGAGAGATTCCATGGGTGGAGGTAGTGACCTTGACAGGCCTTATCACATTGCTTTTCATATTACACTTGTATACATTGTTAACAATTATTTTATTAGTTATTTTTTAAGAACTCAGTACAATTAGTTTTTGTACAGGATTATTATTCCTCTTGAAATATGGTTTTAAACCATAAAAACAATTTAAAAGATTATATTTCCAAGTTCTGAAAATTATATGAGATTAAAATTTCAGATTCCAATCATATTTTTATACCAGTTATACAAGTTACGTTTTAGTATTATCAACATAGTGCACGTGATGGAATTCTTAATCAAACATGCCGCCTAGATTCAAAATTAAAGGCATAAAAAAACACTCATTTGATGTATTATGAGATATATACACATAGGGTACTGAGTTTAGCATGATTATTAGACCAGGGCACTTTTTGCTTAATATATACATAACCTCATAATCAGTGGTTGACTGCATAATCAAAGCCTGATTTTCTAGACTTAGTAATGTCACAATCTAGGTCAGTGTTACCAGATATATAACTTCTGGCTTAGTTATGACTTAGTTTGTTTCTTTTTGCTTAGCAAGCAATGCCTGCTTGCCAGACAGAATAATTAATGGCTTTCCAAAAGACTTCTGAAGTCTAAAATGAGCTTATTATTTCATCAAAGACAAAAGTGTTAAAACTGCTATTGATGGTGAAATTGTATTAATTGTCTTACATGCAAGTTTTATTGTTTTAAGTTGGTTTTACTTGAGATAACAGTTGTATAATTTTAAGTTTTGTCACATAATCCAGAGATTCCAACTCTAATTCACATAAAATACGAATAATAGCATCAAAAAAAAGAATATTAGCAGAAAAACAGGAATTATTTAATTTTTGCTGTTGTTTTCCTGCCGAAAGAAATGTTGATATCTGTAAAGTCTAAAAAAGCATGGTTTTTATTTCTTTCAGGTAATATAATGCATGAGAAGAAAAAGCTAAAATTTGGTTCAAACTTACACTTCTTCATAGCTCTAAGGAAACTAACTTTAAAATAAAATATTTAAGTTTCTGCAACACCCATGCTTGACAATAGGTTTCATATTGGGATGTCATCTGTAACTGTTGTGGTTGATACTTCTTTTCATATTTTCTCCTTTATTATAACTGTATGGATATTATTTAGCTATACATCTGTTGTTTTGTAGTTTTTTCTCTCTGTGTTCTCAAGTTATTTTGGTCTTTTGTTGCTTCATACTGAGATGTAATTTCTTCTTATGCTGCAATTGTTATGGGTTTTTTTTCCTTCTTATTTTCACCTTTCCTTTGTGGGTATCATTTAAGTAGTAAATCTACCCGTGATTTGTTGTTCTTGTTTGGTCTATTTCTTCTGAATTTCTCTGTTGTGAGCAGTTGTATCCCTATATAGGACCCTATCTCTCCCATGCTTTTTTTGAACAGACATTCCTGGCCAAGTGACTTTTGTTTCTACATCTTTCTGATAAAATTAACATGACAGTCCTAATTTCTGCATGGGATAACAATAAATTGGATTTCTGATTGGCCAATATTTTTTCTGAATTATAAAAGCACTTGAATCTGGTTTGAGAACAGCTGAAGAAGTCACTGATTCATTTCACCCCATAACAAAGTTATTGGATCTTGTTGTAACAAACCAAAACAAAAATATGCACATTTAAAGGATATGATCATAATGGCATAATCTGGAATTAAATTTGGAATAGTTGGCATCTCAAGATAATTAATGCATAATTTTTATTCTATCTAAATAATCAGCAATTTTATGGTTCATAATTTCAAACTATTAGCTGCATACTCTTAATTTTTTTTTTTTTTTTGCAGCCTAGAAATTGAGGATCCTATATATACCATCCAACTCTAAATTCCTCCTTTAAGAAACCACACAAAAGAGATTGAAAAAATATATAATAAATGGAAAATTCAGAATAATTTCTAGTGCACATGCATATTCAGGCATCTCTTTTCAAGCTTTGTTAAATGTTCTATGTAAATGATTAATAATACCTGGGAAGATATTTTATAATTAGCAAAAAACAAAGTTCACATTTTTTAACCATAAATATTTATATCTATGATATATTAGTTTTATAAAGAGATGCAAAATTACAGCATGAGAATAAAACTTCTGATTTTGAAGAAATTACAAACACATCTGTACTTATAAAAAAAAAAAACTTTTAAACCATCTTCAATCATTCTCTTTAAATTAATTTTTTGTCACTGTGGTGTTTTTATTGCTATCATCTGTGTATGAGTATAATTTCATTCTTAAAAAATAACATGCTAATTGAACATTTTTCTACAGTTTTATGACATTCCAAATGTAACACAGAGCTTATTAATTTACCTGTAATTCTTTTTCATGAGAACTTCTCAGGGTAGTAAGAATCTGAGGTGAATCCTGACTGTGCGTAGACAGAATTTCCTTGTGCTTCTTTTGAAGATTGTCTTTCATGCCTGATACCATTCAAAAATTGCCTTAAACATCAGATATTTTCAGTAAACAAACACTATCAACAAAGCAGTTTCAATAAATATATACACTAGAAACAGTAGGAAAAAGGAGAGAGTTATGTGACACAATATATTAACAGTAATGTAGAGATACATGGCTACAAAATGTATGCCCTGAGAATGGAAAAAAAGTAGTTGCTCTATTTTCAGAAGTTTATCTATAGACTTCAAGATAGTTTGCACATATAAAGATGCTTAACCTTTTAAACTACACTAACTGTAAAAGAATTTGAGGGGGGGGGTAAAAGATCAGGAGCAGAAGTCAAGGAAGCACAACAGGTGAAAAAGATTTCTTAAAAGATTGGTTTGGAGGAGGGAGAGAGAGAGAGTGGTGGGTTTTTACAAGGGTATAGAGTAGTAAAAATGTTTTTGGCTATATACACAGGTTCATTTGACATTTGGTTACAAGTCTCTAACAGAGTTGAGCCTTTGGCTGCTTGCATTGAGAAAGAAGAAAGTAATCAAGAGGTTTACACAGTAGGGGAGGTTTTCATTAAGTATACTGACAAAGTTATAGGAAATATGGAGCATAGAAAGTTTAGGAATAGAACTTGCTTGCCAAGTGCTAAGGTATAGAATTTTACCAAGTGTGTTGACTGTTTAATTGATGGTATCAAGAAAGCATTATAAAGCAGTACAAATACAGTAGGAATGAATGATGTTGGAAAGACATAGATATAAAAAAAAATCCTTCAGAATGTTTTGAAACAAAAATAGATATGTACATCTCTTAGAATACTCCCTCAGGCTAAATGTTGGAACTAACTACTTGGAAGTCCAAGGTTTAAATGATAAATTAACATGGATATGCTTAAAGTAACAGGTGGGGAGATTGAACCTGAGAGACAGTTTTCAGGTTAAAGGTGAAATGTAGAATTAGGTTCAATTATAAAATTAGATAGTGAAGTGTCTGGAGAAACTTTAAAGAATTTCACTAACGTTTCAGAACTAGCAAGTACCTTCACAGTGCACACCTGGTTATCAAATTTATAACGTAAGTAAAAATAATAACTGTAACTCTAGTTCAACAACATTTAACTTGGAAGCATTTCAAAATTTCATATATTTTTTTCCCATTCGTAACATTTATTTAGTGTAATTTGTAAGGAAAAATGTTCCAACTTTTCTGCACATCCAAAACAAAGGGATTATATGAATATAATTACTTAGGCTTTGTTTTATCAGTAGGCCCCTTTAATGACCTCATAAGGCTAAAGACAGTTTAAATTAGCTTTACATAATGATGTAGGAGTTTAGGAAAATGAACAAAGTGACGGGTGAGCTATGGCAAAGGGAAGATTGCAAAAGTAACATTTAGAGCATAATATGTTAAATAATAGTTTTAAAGGCTAAGACTTTCAGATTTATGGATAAGCAGAGTAGATTCAAGAACACTGTAAACTTCATTAATATAAGGCTTCTTTTAGAAATATTAGGAACATAGTGGATGAGTTTAAGGCTGAAGTCTAAGTAAAAACTACGATAAAATGGGAATTACTAAAACTTGGTTATATTTGGAGAAACCTAATAGTGATAATAGAAATTCTTTAGGAATTTTTAGTTATTAATTATTTAATAGTGATAGACTATAAAAAAGGAGGAGTGGAATGTAAGGGATGAGCTGTAGCGTATTGAAACTAAAGACATAAAAAAATGGATAATCAAGAAGATGAATCTACCTAGTTACAATAATGGGTCTCAAGATTAGAAGTTTTGAATTGGAAATTGTTATAGGCCACTCAATAAGATACATGATGTCAATGAGAAACTGTATAATCAGTGCTTTGCTAATAAAAATGTTGGTGCAGTAATCATAGGAGACTGTGATTTTACGCTCAATGATAAGTGGTAAGTGTGGGGGTTCTTGAAGCGTTTTAGGTTGGTTTTCTATATCAAGTGGTCAGACAACCAACCATAGAAGATGCCATTTTAGATTTATTATTAACCACTAATGAGGATGTGGGAAAAGAGTTGAAGTGGACTACATCTAAAGAAGGGATCAGCACTGTAATGTATAATCAGGTTTAATATTTTGCTAAATGTTGAGACCAAGAAAAATGAAATTTTACTTCATTTTAAAAAGGCCAATTTTCAGCCCATAAGACAAGGCTTACCATTAATGAATTAGGATAATTAGCAATATTCTGAATAAAAGCATTCTATGGGTAACATTGTAATAGACCTGAATATGCAGATGTTAATTATTTGATGATAAGTCAATGGCAGACAGGATCAGAAAACGTTTTCCTAAGGGTTTTAAAAGAGGCCAATTATTACATATACGAGCCTCTCTCTTTCACTTTCTCCAGGTGAAACACACAATTTGAAAGTTTGTGTTGGATATTGTGCAATGCTACTATAGGGGTATCTGCAATAACCATTCCTAATTTAGCAGCAATAGACTACAGGGAAAGGTAGCTAGTCAACACTACACACTGCCAACTCTTGGGCTACTCTTTTACCAATGAATAGTGGGATGGACCATCATGTTATAATGCTTCGATGGCTGAAAGAGCGAGCATATTTGGTGGGATAGGGATTCAAACCCATGACCTGTAGATTACAAGTCAAGCTCCCTAACTACCAGGCCATGCCAGGCCTAATGTGCAAGTATCTGAGGAGTGCAGAGTTATTAAAATTACTTCTGTTTTAAAAGGGTGTGATAAGAGTTGCCCTAAACATTACAGGCCAGTTAATGTTATTTCTGTAGCAGAAAGAATTTAGTCTGGCAAAAGAATATCTATAAATCATTTAGTAAAATATGATAACAGGAAAGAGGTCCAACAGGGATTCATTAAAAGGAAATATTGCCTTACTAACTGTTAATTTTTTTATGTGTGGACTTGTATACTTAGATTTTCTAAGGGATTTTGATAAGATGCCACAGAAGATTAGCTAAGTAAATCACCTTGGTGAGGTTGGGAAAATCACTAGGTAGTTGGATTGAAGGGCAGCTGGGTTAGAGAAAGTTATCATTTTCCTAAACTGAAAATGTATTTCCAATAATACTTATTTCTGCTGACACTATAGCTATTTCTAGATCTCCAGGTTTCCACTCTTTGCCCATCTAAGCATTGAAAATGCTTGCTCCAGTCTTTTATACTCCACTCGATTGCCCTTGGCAAATTCTAATTTGCAAATTTCTCCACTAATTTCAATGCCCCCTCTATCTAGGTACTGTATATAAGCACCACATTCAGATAATGTAATCACTTTTTCAAGACATAAACTGGCTTTTAGTGGGAAGGTAGGGCAGGAGAGTGTCAGTGGAGGTAAGTATTATTGGAAATACATTTTCAGTTTATGAAAATGATAACTTCCAAAACATACTTACCTCCGTTGACACTATAGCTAGAATCCCACATTGAGAAGGTGGAGGGGCTGGTGCAGGCATGAACCATACAGAAAGCATCAGTATAGAACAGGAGTGTACCAAGATAAAGGTGGTACCAGAGTGGGGGAACTGCACTACATCCAGAACAGGTATGCTCTTCACTTGGAACTCAGTTCCTATATCAACGGTGAAATAGAATGTGAATAATCATCAGTATAGGCCAGCCCCAGCCGAGGTCCCACAACCCAGGGTTGGAATTAAGGGGTCATGGTACCTATATCCCACATTGATGGCTAGGGCTATTGGACCGCAATGTTATATATAAATATACATACTTTTGATTGGATCCCAACCTGTAGCCTTAGAGTGATGAGTTTTGCACCACTGGAATCATAACAAAAAAGTAAGCAACACTGAAATGGATAAACTTTCTCCTCCACCTGAAGAATTCCAAAAGACAACGCCCCAGGTTCATAATGATGGGATCGTGTGTGCCATACTCAATCAAAGGAGCAGAACTCATCCCGTCTAGAATTATGAATATTCATCCTCACTCCCCAACCAAGTGGGAAAGGAATACTCCACTTGCCACTGGAATTATGGAGAGGATATGGAACCTGTGCTCAACCAAGAACCTAGGATAGGACCAAATCGCATTCGGAATTATGAGGAGATAGTAGACCTCCTTCCATGAACAATATACGAAACCGACATTGATCAAAGAGAAGGGCCATGCACCCCCCAACTAGATAGTTTATGTCATAACTGAAGTGGAATTATTAGTAGACTCCTGTGGTGGTTGGTGCCACTCCTACTAACATCTGGGAAACACATCCAGGGACCCAAGTAGGAGGGGCCCCCAACTCCACCCTCTTCTCCAAGAGTTGAAGTACATACTCAAACACTCTGGAGGAAAAGCCTCTGTTTGCTACTACAGTGACTGGAAACTGGAGGTGGTAAAACCTCCCAAGCTCCACTAATAAAGTCTGGGAGGTAATACACATTGGGGAGTCCTGAGGAACAGTGCTCTGGAAATTGTGCAGTAGGTGAACCAAGTTCCCTACATTTTTAAAAGCAAACCAACCCGAATTTATTCGACCTAAAGATTGGCAGGGACGGGCAGGATCCCCTTTAGCTTTACTTTACTCATGATAGTCCATGAGTGGTGGTCCATAATAATAAGGTAATAACATTTGGTAGGTGCCTTGATGGTGTTATGGAACACCCCATTTTGACAGAGCCTGTTTCAACCTGTAGTAATTGCAGTGAAAGTGGTTGCTAGTGCAGTATTGCAAAGAGAAAGCATACCTGCCTGGGCAACACTCGCTACAGAGCGGGATCCAGTGAAAAATAAAGAGACCCTGGAAATAAGAGTACATGATTGAGGAAAATACTCATCTCTGGTTAAAATCTAACAGATGTGGTCAAAATAGCTACGGGGATTAGTCGAAAACCTTCAGAAGAGGAAACTGCCAGATCATGTAAGTAATGAGATAGGAAAGTATTAGGAGTAGTCCACATATCAGCCTGCACAATGTCTTCCAGAGGGAATATTCAATCAGGCGGCTAATGACATAGAGATGTGACAAATCTGGTGTGATATGACATGCAAAAGATTACTCTCCTGTTATGATAATCCATTATTGGCTATGTGAATCAATTTATGAAGCCACCTCATTAAGGTAATGGGATATAAATCACGGGAAATAGAAGGATTCCAATGAATGAACAATCAAGTTCTACTACCTCAAAATGAATTAGTATGAGCCACATTACACTTGAGGGCCCAAACAGGACATAACAAAGGAATAGAGCAATCATAAAGGTTAGAAATGGCTGGCAAATGGATTGGTGAGAAGGATCTTTCCCCCTCCCTGGCTGCCAGTCTTGAGAAGAAAAGACCTGTCAGGATAAAGCAGGACAGATGTGGAATGATAAAGAGTCTGATACATATGGATTGCAAACAACTCGGACCAACGATATCCACAAGCCAACAACAACAAAAAAAAATACAATTTAAGAGAAAGGTGAAACAAAGAACAAGAAGCTAAGAGCTCAAAGGGAGGATGAGACAATGCATGTAAAACAACTGTAAAATCCCAATTCAGTAATTGAAAAGGTCGTTTGGGTCAAAAAATATGATAGGATTTAAGTAAACCTGATAGTACTGAGGATTCAAAAACCTTCTGATATATGGAATTTTGAAAAATAGTGGATACGGATGCCTTATATAAAGCCACCATAGCAGAAGTAAGACCCCTCTCGGATACCCATGTCACAAAATGGGATATGGTAGATACTTTAGGGTGAAGAGGGTTTAAATTCTTTATAATACACCACTAACAATAAGTGCATTTCCATTGATAAATGGCCGTGGTTGGTCTATGGAAAGATTTAATTAAATACAGAGAAACCTTAGAAGTTAAACCCTTATGTCAGGCAAAGGACCACATAAATTCCAAGCATGAAGATTGAGTTTCTGAACATCTGGGTGGAGAATGTCTGATCGAGGTTGTCTCAACAGAGACTGCCAATGTGATAGATGTAGAGTTGGACATTCCTGCACATACTAAAGAAGCAGAAACCAATATGCTGGCCAATATGGTGCAACCAAGAGAACTCAACAGGGAGTGTAATGAACCATAGTCAGGACCCGGGGCAATAGCCGAATCAGAGAAAAGGCATACTAATGTAAATCTGTCCAGTCCTGACTGAATGCTTCTACTGCCAACACTTGAGGATGAGGTATAGGAGACCAAAATAACTGCAGTTGAGAATTCCAATGAGTCGACCCTCTCTACTGCCCTTTTGACTAACAACTCTCTTATGGCCTTATTGCCATAGATCTGTTGGAGGTGAAAAAGCAACAGGTTGTGCAGATAATGGTGGAGGTGATATAAACTGAATGACCAACCTTGAAGCCAAAACATTGAGTACCCATGGATTCCTGGTGAAAGAACTCCAGATGTCCAGAAAGTGATGTAATTGTGCTCCCATTGCTCCCCCACCCACGGAATAGTCACTGATGTTGTTGTTGACGTCCTACCCGAGCTGAAAATTCTCAAGAATACGGACAGGCACTATTATGGGAACCAATAGACCTGGGAACTGAAGGAGGAGGTCAGGAAACACCACGAGCCGACACTCCCAAATTAGTGCCAAAAAGGCAAAAAGCCAACGACGATAAAGAAAAATGTAAATAAGCTGAGTCAATTTGTGATTCTAACATCCTTGGATCTCCGGCAAATTATATGGGACAGAGAAAAGGAGTTTCCCATAACTCCCTGAGGGCAGAAGATGGTAAATGAACATTTTCTAACAAAGCGTCTCTACCCAATAAATCCCAACAACAAACCAGCCAGAAAACCAGAAGAAGAACTGAAGAAGACAATCTGACTGAGGTAGACATCAGCAAAATCCTCAACTTATCATCAAATTGCTGAGGGGAATGTTGATAGGCTTTAAACAAAAGTTGGATTGAAAATAAATACATCAGGACAGTCGTGAGAGCAAGGCGAATCTGAAAAAACTATGATCTGTTTAAAGCGATCACAGGTTCCAAACTAGACCCCTACAGGTCCAAAAGGGGGTCCATCCATTGAGAAGTTAAATATACCTCCTCCTGGCAGTGTTAAGCCAAAGCATGCTGTTCAGATAAACGTGAGGGACAAGGCATAGCTATCTCGTCACGTAACTGAGCAGCAAATCTCCCAGCATGAACAGCAATATCAGGAGGAAAAACTAAGTAGTCATTTGCCGTCTTTTCTGCCATCAAGGAAGGAGTAGAGTTAAATGCAATAGGAGAGACCCCCAAAACCTCACAAACCTGAGTAACCAACTGAAGAAAAGGGGCTGGAGGTAGTTGATCAAGAAGATCCTCTATTGAGGCCACTTGAGAGACACCCTCAGTCTGCACATACGTCTCCATCTCAAGGACAGCTTCGACGGAGAGTGATCCCTTCCTTGGCTGTTGACAAACACCAGGTAGCAGAGGTGGAAGGCAAGAGGTCTGCAGTAGAAATATTAACTCATACCCATCAGTACACTTTTTTTTTGTTAAAGTCATTTATAAATATAAACAAAGATATAATTGTAGTAATGCCAACCACATTCAAAGTCATACCATAAATTGTGAATAATTACCACACTCCTGTTTATAGAAACCCATGCCAATTGGTTTGTCAAGAAAAAGTAAATACATTATTTGAATGAGGTGTTTATATACAGTACCTAGATAAATGGTGCATTGAAGTTGATAGAGAATTTTGCAAATTAGAATTTTCCAGGGGCATTTGAGTGTGGTATAGAAGACTGGAGCAAGTGTTTTCAATGCTTAGGTGGTCAAACAGTGGAACTGGAGATTGAGAAAGAGCTATAGTGTCAGCGGAGGTAAGTATGTCTTGGAACTAACAAGTTCTTATTAATGGAGTCCAGTAAAAGTGGACCTTTGTTACTAATGGTGTGCTTCAGGGGTCAGTGCTTGCAACTTAGTTTTTTCTTATTTACATTAATGGTCTTGATAAGGGTATAATAATAAAGTTTGCTGATGATATTAAACCTTTGGGCAATTTAAGTATTTAAGATGTTGAGGTACTATAGGGTGGAAAGCTGGACAAATATTTGTCAGATTAACTATTAATTACAGTAGGGCAACATAATGCAATTGGTTTATCATAATTTGGATCAAAAATTTAATTTACACTGCTCAAAGAAACTATAGGATCATCAGTTTCATTTATTCTAGCTAATTTATGACAAGGCACAACTGCCGTTATTAAATAATGTTAAAGTTAAGTTAATTTTTTAGCAGCATGATTAGTTTATAGAATAAGTTTCCATCAGCAGTTGTGTGGCACCTTAAAAACGTTTTTTGGAGAGAAATCTGTAATTTCCTGAAAAATAAAGTACTGTTATAATATTTACATTTTTTGGGTGTGTGGGTGTGCAAAACCAAATGGTCTCTTGCTGTCCACAGAGTATGTTGTGTTTAACATGTCTATGTAAATTATAAGTTATAATTTACTGTTGCATAGTTTAATGTTAATTAAATTGCATACTATTTCTTTTATGTCCTTTTAAATTCTGAAATTATACAGTAACTCTCTACACCTGTGAACTCATATTTTTATGTATCCTTTACTTCTAAATACATTTTAAATACAGTTTTTTCTTCCACACAATTAATTGTTGTCAACCTACCTCTATAAGAATTTATTAATTGTTGTCAACCTACCTCTATGAGAATTTATTAATTGTTGTCAACCTACCTCTATGAGAATTTACTAATTGTTGTCAACCTACCTCTAGGAGAATTTATTAATTGTTGTCAACCTACCTCTACGAGAATTTATTAATTGTTGTCAACCTACCTCTATGAGAATTTATTATCTTCATTCGTTTCTCATATAAATGCTTCTCTTTCATTAGCTGTATTTCTTTTAGACCTCGTACTATTTCAAAGACAGTCCCATCCAGAAGAGAGTTTGCTAGACTAGATAGGAGTTCATAAGGTAGTCTTTGTTGATATTTCCTGAAAGAAAAATTGTGTATCATCAACAATTTGGGCTCTTCAGGTGCAAAAAATAAAAACAAATTTAGGTGTGAATAACAAAACTATATACCTAACTGATTATCTCACATCTTTAGTCAGAAGTGACTTAAGAAATTAAAAACAATCTAAAAAGTGGACATCTAATCAACAGTTCTCAGGACAGCTTTTCCAGTTTATTTACTTATTTTTATAAAACAATAACTTTTTTGAATGAGGCTATTGTGTTCATTGCTGTGTCATCTGACTTTTAAAAAGCATTTGATTGAGTTGCATGACAAAGACTAATTTGTTGATTTGATGTTATGGAATTGTTGAAGAAGTTAAGAAATGGTTAAAAACATTTTTAGTAGTAAATATAAAAGTAAAAAGCATGTCACAAATAGATGTTTTTTTTTCAACTGTGACTACTGGAGCCCATTACAGGATCTGTTTTGGAACCTTTGTAATCCTCTATTCATGTCATTGATTTAGATAGATTTCTAGACAGTAATATTTCTAAATTAGCTGATGTCATTAAAAGTGCTGGAAGAGCAAGATTATATTGAAAATGTTTCTCTTAATTAAAAGAACTTTGATGTGGAAAATAAGTGTCAATATTGAAAAACTTAAGTGATGCACTTGGGACATGGACACTTGGAATGGACTTACTTCTTATATGAGAGGAACACTGATATTATGAATAAAAAGGAAAGAAGAATGCGGAAGTGATTGTTGCTAAATCTATAAGCACTTGTGAAAAAGGGTAGAAAAAGTTTCTTATGATACATGTAAATGTTAAAATGCAACTTAATATTCTGTTATTCTGTGTGATTTAGGTTATCAAACATACATCCAGTAGATCTGGGAAATTAATTTATCTAACTGATTACCTATGAGTATTGATTACATCAGTTATGTCAAGTGAAATATTCTTTTAATGGAAATTACAGTTAAATCTATTATTGTCACAAAAAAATAATACATGAATCTAAATCAGTTTCCAATTATTACTATTTTTGATTATTTCAACTTTTCAAGTCTTATATGAGAATAATCAATCAGTTGAATGTAATTGTTTAATGAGACTAACAATTAATCAATTAGCAAATTTCACTAATCACCAAGCTCTAATGTCCAGATGTTTTAGGTGGGAAATAACATCTTGGACATGAAATAATAACATAATTACAGGTAAGTATTGTCACTTTATTTTTGACAAGCTGTTGACAAATAAAAAATCAATATTATCATAGCAAACATTTAGTAATGTAAACAATTATTACAATGACAGAAGCAATCTTAATGGACAAGCTAAGATGTTTAGCAGCAAACAATTTTCTTTCTTCACATGAACATTGCTTATTAGATTGTAATCTCGACATCTTTTGTGCATAACATGGCATAAGCCTTCACCCCAGTGAAGTTACATTTTCAATGCTGAATTAATAGAATGACTTGCTAAGATTAATAGTACTAAAAATCTGTAAAACGTATATATATCATATATACACATACCACTCACGATTTCATTGGTTTCATGACATATTTTTGTCTTTGTATATTGTACTTTTGCGCGTATTTAGAAGTTCGATGAGCTTTAGTTATATATATATATTTATATATAAAGTAAAAATAATAAACATATATACATTGGTTAACTCTTCAATTTCAAAGCTATTATCTCTCCAATTCCAAATTCAATACAGCCTTTGTGCTCCTTTCTGGCGATTTCACGACTTCTTTGCGAAATCAAATGTGTTTATTGGCTCGGAATTCCTTTGTGGTCTTTCATAATTGATTAAACTACCTTTACAGTTTTAATCACTTTTATACGAGCCTCATTTTCCCGTACGTACAACAAACAGTACATGCACGTGCTTTATTTATTTTGTTCAACTTTTTAGGCCTAAAAAAATAACTTACGGTGGTAATTCTCTGGCCATATTTTGAAGTTCATTTAAATAAAAATAATGTTTTTGCTGTAACTGTTCTTTTCGAGCAAGTTCTTCTTTAACAGCTGACATAAGACTTTCATCGATATTTGGTACATACTGACAATGTGCCATATTTACATATCTAATATATTATGATTAAAAGACAAGTGTCAGTATAACTTGAATAAAACCTGTTTCATTAATTATTTCCACGCAAAACGACGGTAGCGCCCTTCTGTGACGTTTCAATTAATTAGAACATACTGTCCTATAATTTAAGATATAACTAAACAAAATCGATTGACTAAATGGTAATTTTAAATTCATAGTAATAAATATGATCTCAATAGGATAACATACCAAAACTATATTTAGATTCATTATGTTATTTTTGCATGAAATGCATAAGTGTTTAGAACATGAAAAGAACAACAATACAGAAAATTTGTAATTGTTAACTAATAAAACAAGCTTGAAACAGTTAACGACTTTTTCCACATTTGAGCATTTAATGTGAAGTAAAGAAGCACTATTGTAAGACTAAACTTAATTGATTGGTGTAAGTAAAAAGACTGAAAGATTAAACATATATAAAGCACCCGGGCAAGACAATGCACGAGGTTTAAAGGATGTCAAAGATAATGTATGCTAGTCTTTCTTTCTCTTTAATTTTTGGTAAGTTATTAGACAGAGGATAGGTATCTGAAGATTGAAGAGATGTTTACTGCAACTTTTAAAGTGGGTGATAAGAATTGTCCTGGAAATTGTAGATCAGTAGTCTTACTTTTGAAGTAGGAAATATTCTAGAAACTCTGATAATAAAAGACTTACAAAATCATTTAATGGAATATGGTATTTTAAATGAAAAGAAACATGGATTTCCCAAAGGGAAATATTACCTTATTAGTCTGTTTTATTTGTTTTTTCGAGAATTTTACTTATTTTCTAGAGAGTAGGAAAGGTGTAGAATTGGCGTACTTAGATTTTCCAAAGATTTTGATAAAGTGTTACGCAAGAAATTAACTAAGAAAATTATATACCTCTACCAATGATCGATGGGTTTATGTCTGGAGAGTTGAAAGTAAACGATATGCTTAGCATAAACCGTTGAAAATGACCGGTTTTAGGAGAGGCATTAATATTGTTGCGTCAGTGAGGTCACGTGACTAGTATCACGCCACTTCTTTTTCGAACCTTCGTGAATTGTCGGGAGATTACTAGATTGGGGGTAGCCTGGTATATATAAGATGGTCACAACGTGACGGGACAATGTGTAGGTAATGAGTAATTGAACTGCAGTCAGAGAGTGTGTAATTGAGTATTGTCGAACACGAGCACGTGAGACGTTTTAGCGTTTGTTATAGAGCGACTGTTGAAATTAAGTGTATCGGTAAAGTTGTATTCGGAAAGAATAAATCAGTTTTATTTAAGAAAGGACTTGTGTCGTTAAAGTTTCGTCGGAACGAATTTACGGAAAATTAACTAACGACTGGAGGCGTAACAATATTAATGGATTTACAGGTCTTGTTGTACTTTTGAATGGCAGATTTTATGTAGTAGTTTTAGAATCCCTTGTATGATCTTTCGAAGGTGTAATAGCACCAGACTTCGTATCAAATTGCAAGGATTGAATTGAAAATCATTGAACAAAGAACCATAGAAGTAATAATTGGTCATAAAGAAGTCCTGATCTAAATAACCTAAAAAAATTGTTAGTCCTCATGGGATATTATATATATATCAGTGTTTTAATAAAACACGTGATATCAGAGAGCTTAGAACAAAATTTTTAAAGATGTTGTCTACTGAATGATAGAAATCATAAATATATTAAACTAATGTCATTCGTGTCCTACCTATTGTAATTAGCCATATAATTTCAATGAAACTTATTTGTGAACTGTTCTCGTCCCTCTAATTTTATATGTGTTATATTCATATACATCAACAACAACAAATTTTGAGGTCAATCCAGTGAAATGTGCAACATAATGGAAGTCAAAGTCCTCATTTAAAATGAACTTTGTTCGAAGTATTTTAATGAAATACTTATCGTTTTTGTGACGTGAGTTTCAACCTTTAACTATATCATTTGAAAGAGCAAAGTTTAGACTTTAAAATAAAACATATAAATAGAAAATATAGGAATTATCTAAATAATCTGTAGTTGAAAATATAGTTATTGGTAACAGTAAAATCAACTTGCTACTAGAATGAGAATACTGATTTGACGTTATAATATAAAATTCTTTAATTCTTGAGTACGAATCGATTAACATTACGCCCTGTATAGCATAATAATCTATTTATTGTTTACAGAAGTTTTAAAATATTGAACGAAACAGTTTTCGTTAAAAAAATAAACCAAGTCGTTTATATATTTTCTTATCGGTTCAAAGCGTAAAATCATTGAAAAAAGACTTTCGTTAATTACCAAATTTTTGTGTAATACACCCATAAAGTGTTTACTTGCTAGAATAGGGCTGAGTGTAAAATTACATATATGATATCTATGTAAGTTCATATGTAATCTCAAATCTCCAGTTTCTCCACTATAATTTTTATGTTTGTTTTTGAATTTCGCGCAAAGCTACACGAAGGCTATCTGCGCTAGCCGTCCCTAAGTTAGCAGGGAAAGACTGGAGGGAAGGCAGCTAGTCATCACAACCCACCGACAACTCTTCGGCTACTCTTTTACAACGAATAGTGAGATTGATCGTCACTTTATAACGCCCCACTGTTTGGTGTTACAGGGATTCGAACCCGCGACCCGCAGATTGCGAGTCGAGCGCCCTAAATATGTTTCATCTTATTTTCATATCACCACAAAGCGAAGAAAACCTTGGGTATTGATTCTAACTGAAAACCTCGACAATCTCTGATATTTTTATCATCTGAAAGAGTTGAAAGATTTGTGTGTAATAAAATCTGTACAAAAAGTCAAAGTTTACAGATTTATCTAGCGTTATCCAGCTTAGGTCTATTTCACATCCAAAAAAGGCAGCACCTTAACTGTTTTCTATTTATATCGTTTAAATTTGTGTGTTTCTTTGTAGTTAATCACAAAGCTACACATTGGGCTATCTGTAATGTGCCCATCACGGGTATCGACACCAGATTTTTATCTTTATAAGCCTTCAGACATACCGCTGAGCCATTGGAGAGCTACATTTTGTGAAAGCTAGCAAATGCATATGGCGTGGATTAGCACCTCATCTGATTTCATTTGATTTGTTGTTTTTGTATATAACTGCTAAAATCCCTCCAATGGCTCAGCGGAAAGTCTGAGGTTTTATAACGCAAAAAACCGAGTTTCGATACCTGTGGTGGGCAGAACCCATTGTGTAGCTTTGTGCTTAAGAACCAAATACACAAACTAACTAACTAATTGATAATAATATTTAAGGCAGCCACCATTAATTAATCCATATAACATTGAACTGTACGATCACCTAACATACTGCAAAAGAAATAAGAAAAGTTTACCTATGTCAAATTTAAATAGTTCTTAAGAAATGCGAGATTTATTTTCTGTAGAAAAGATGTGCATATCTATAATTTAATATAAGACGGTAAAATTTAAATGATCACCAAACTCGAAACAATTCTCGGTTTATGAAGAGATCCACTTCAGATCCTCTACCAGTTCACAACTTATCACTAAACAGGCAGACAGAAAATTCTACTTCTCTAACTATCGGATTTTGAATCTAAAGGGTCGTAGCTCACATCTAGTTGCTGCAAATCGCGTTCCATACTTGGGGGCCGTGGTAATGGTGTTATAATGGTGACGGTTAAATCCCATTATTCAACTACAGTAGCCCAATAATTTAGCGTAGGGTGCTGTTGACTAGCTGCTTTTCCTCTAGTCGTCTATCAGTCCAAAATTATAGGGATACTGGCGCAGATAGCTTCTTGTGTAGGTTTGCGTGAATATCCGAAAAAATAAACTTTTATGACACTTAGGAATTCCCTAGTTAAATTTCACTCAGCTTTCAATTAACCTTTATCAGAACCGCGCTTGTTAACAATTCATGTTTTATACACGTGTCCTATTTCCAATTTATTTTCTGCATGCTAACTTCCTAAAAAACAACAACAAAAGTTAGATTTTTTTCTGGGGAAATTATGTCTTTTGTGCTTTTAGAATAGTAGTTTTCTGGTAACTGAGTAACGACTTTGTACTTTATGGGGAAAACCAGATCAACATGCTACATATACATGTGTATATGTATAATATTAGTAGTACAGGAATTAACCCGGTCAAAAACGTCACCTCATACATGTACAGTTCTCTAACCTAAATGCAGTGTTGTTCCAGCTGATTTTCAGAACCAACAGTTCACTCTGAAAGTTGTGATACTTATACAGCTGTACATTACACTGTAAAATTATAAATCGAACGTTCTTGAAACATTATGTTAAGTCGTGTTCTGGAATTTCACATGCACCCGTTTTGTGTATATGCGTATACATACATACGTGTTCACAAATAGGATGTTAAAAATATATGAATTAGAAAAAATTTTATCATACTAAACAGTTTACTGTAACCATAGCTACGAGGTACGTGACATTGTCATTCTATATATGTTCAGGCTCATTTTACATAACACTCAACAGATGCCTGTAATGACGCGAAAATTTCATAAATCATCGGGTCGAGTTTGGCCCAATGGTAAGCGTGCCGGATTGTAGATCTGAGCTTCTGTGGTTCGCCCCACGTTAACGCCAAAATTAAAATAATCGTCTTCACCAGGATCGGGCCTATTCGATTAAAGTGTTCCACGAGTGATGTGGACTACCTGCATTCCCTCTAGTCTGTCCCTTCAAAATTAAGGACGGCTAGCACAGTTAATCTCGAAACATTTTCATGAATTTCAACAGATACAAACAATCATAAAATATTATGCACACACGTGCTTGTAAAAACAAAAACACGCCGCTGTTTAGAAAAAAATACAATAAAAGTCAGTAAAGCAATCAGTATAGAACATAAAGTCGCATATTTATGTCTTGATTTTTCTGCTGTGTTATAGAAATTCACTTTAGTATAGGTTTCATCATTACATTAATTTCTCTTACTAAGAGTGGGTTTTATAGACTCATTTGTCTTAAAAAAAACACAAAAGATGTCAGAAAGTTAAATAACTGTCTTTGAGAAGTACCTAAAAATGATTTTAACTTTCAGTTATCGTTACAATACAACTTTATGTTATCT